AGAGAGAGAGAGAGAGAGAAATATATATACATGATACATATATACATTCATACATATTCATATAGAAAATATATATACATATATACATACATAGGGGCCTATTCAAGGGAGAACTGAGTTGTTTGTGGTAACTGTGAGAACCAATCTCTCCTCTCTCCGACCTCCAAACTCCGGCCTCCGGCCAACATTATTCCGGCATGTACCAAGTAATCACAAAGATACACGATGTGATACCCATTGTGATATACTGTGATACCAACTATTATACCAACTCAAACCATAAAAATAAAAACAAACTCATTGTGATACACTGTGATAAAACAAGGAAAATAATGAAATTGCATATTGTGATACAGTTCATAAAATAAAACTACCGGATACACTGTGATACACTGTGATACACTGTGAAACACTGTGATACAGTTCATGAAATTGCATATTCCGGTGTCTGGTCAACATAACAGGCCAAATCACCCACATGGGGACTCGCCGGAACTCCAGAAACTCGTCGTAATCGCAAGCATCCAACAACAAAAGACCACCGGAGAAACAGGGATGATAATCGTCGTAACTGCCGGTTTCTTGTTTTTAGGGCGTCACCACTTGCGACGGCGGGAGTTGATGGYGGCGGGAGTTGAGAGGGCTYATCGTCACAGTCGTTGGTCTCTGCGGATTTTTTGTCGACGTTCGTGCTTCTCAGAACACGCTTTCGAATATGCGAGAACACGTTTAGTGATGATAAAGGAGAAGATGAAGAAGTAGATGCCGTTCAAGTCTCACCAAAGGTCTRGAATGTATATAGATATTACATATTTCAAAAAGAAAAAGAAAAAACATGTCAGTCTTACCTTGGTAGACGATGACGTGGGCATGGAATAATGCCTGCAAGCTGTTAGAAAAATGGAGTATCCTTAGTTATTTGAGTTTTTGAATCTGGCTTCCTTCTGCAATATAAATTTGGGGAGAGATGGTAAAGAGAAAAAGAGAGATTAGATATGAGGAAGTGACAATAGTAAGTTTATGATTTGAGGAAGGAAGAATATTAGGAGTGCCTCACTGTCAAAGAAAACATAGAAATAACCTAGATGGGGGTGATGGTGGTGGCCGGAGAAGAAATAGATGAAGGAGAAAGTAATATCTAGGGTTTTATGTATATAAACATTACCAAAATACCCTTTATGTTATTTTAGGATATAAAATTAATTATTAAAATGATTGGCTGAGATTGGTTCTCACAGTTACCACAAACTAATCAGTTGTCATTTGATTAGGCCCCTACATACATATATATTTATATACATACCGGAGTTGAAGGAGGTGATCGGCGACAGGAAGGAGGTGGTCGGTGGCAGGTAATGGGTCGTTGTTGGTTTCTTGAGCTCGCGCTTGGTTTTTGGGAGATAGGGTTTCTTCAAATCGCAGGCGGCTGTCGAAATGAGGGTGATAGGGTTTTTATCTGTTATGAGATTACCGGCAGATGTCTCCACCTGAAATTGTTTAAAAACTTTAAATTTTTTAAAAGTAACCGGTTTTCTTGAAATTATTGTTTTTCGATGAACAAATTCACGGGTAAGCCGCCCATTTTTTAATTTATTATTACTATTCTTATTATTTTTTTAAATTATTATTATTATTATTACCACTAAAATTATTATTATTATTATTAAAAAATTTATTATTATTACCACTAAAATTATTATTATTATTACCACTAATATTATTATTATTATTATTATTTATTATAATTATAATTATTATTAAAATTATTATATATTTTTTAAATTATTACTATTATTATTGAACCGTTAAAGTCCAATACAATCAATTAAAGCTCAATACGATCCATTAAAACCCAATACGATCAATTAGAACCCAATACGATCAATTAGAGCCCAATACGATCAATTAAAGCCCAATACGATCAATTAAAGCCCAATACGATCAATTAAAGCCCATGACGATCCATTAAAGCCCAATATCATCAATTAAAGCCCAACATGATCCATTAAAGTTCAATATGATCTTTTAAAGCCTAATACGATCCATTAAAGCCCAATATGAATTCGTTAAAGCCCAATAGAAACGTTAAAGCCCAATGAACATCCGTTAAAGCCCAACACGATTCATTAAAGTCCAATATGATCCATTAAAGCCCAGTATAACCTTTAAAGCCCAATACGATCCATTAAAGACTGATACAATCCATTAAAGACCACTAGAACTGTTAAAGCCCAACTAATATACATTAAAACTCAATAGGATCCATTAAAGTTCATTACGATCCATTAAAGCCCAATACAATCCATTAAAGCGCAATACGATCCATTAAACCATAACTAACATCCACTAAAGCCTAATACAATGCATTAAAGTCCAATATGACCGATTAAAGCCCAATACGGTCCATTAATGCCCAATACGATTCTTTAAAGCCCAATACGATCCATTAATGCCCATACGATCCATTATAGCCCAATAAAACTATTAAAGCCCAACTAACATCCATTAAAGCCCGATACGATCCATTAAAGCCCGATACGATCCATTAAAGCCCGATACGATCCATTAAAGCCCGATACGATCCATTAAAGCTCAATACGATCAGTTAAAGCCGAATACGATCCATTAAAGCCCAATAGAAACGCTAAAGCCCAACTAACATTCGTTAAAGCCCAACACGATCCATTAAAGCCCAATAAAACCTTTAAAGCCCAGTACGATCCATTAAAGCCCAATAGGTCCACTAAAACTCTAATATTTCTGGCGGATTTCCGGCAGATTTCCGGAGGACGTTAATTTTAAAAAATTAATTAAAAATCCGCCGGTAAGTTAGTGTAAGTAGAGTTAAAACTATTGTAAAATAATTAATTATATAATTTGTCTGAAATCCACCTGAAATATTATCATAATAATTTTACTGGCGGATTTCCGGCGGAAATCAGCAAAAGTTGACTTTTTTGTTGTCCGACGTAATCCGCCGAAAAACCGCTCGTAAATTTCCGGCGAATTTTTTCAGCCAGAAATACCCAGTTTTCTAGTAGTGCACTGAATATGAACTAAACCAAAATTTGTTACATTTTAATGCATTTGCGCAATAAACGATGGCGTTTAAATTAAGGTGTCAGAAAATCACTAATGGAACGAAACCGAACTAAAATCAATTGGTTTCTATAATGCTTTCGTGGTTCAATTTGGACTGGTTGGAAAAACTAGTAATCGTTTCATTGTAGGTGAAGACGACAGTAAAGTTTCGTTTGGCCAACTTAGAAGATTTTCATGGCGTGAAGTGCAACTCGCAACTGACAACTTTAATGAAAGCAATATCATTGGAAGAGGAGGGTTCGGGAAAGTTTATAAAGGCGTTATTGCCGACAACACGAAAGTTGCGATCAAAAGACTCACTGATTATCAGAGTCCCGGTGGAGAGGCAGCATTCTTACGGGAAGTTCAGTTGATAAGTGTTGCGGTTCATCGGAATCTTCTTAGGTTGATCGGGTTTTCTACGACATCATACGAAAGAGTGCTCGTGTATCCGTTTATGCAAAATCTCAGCGTCGCATATCACTTACGAGGTACGACATTCCTTCTTACTTTTAAGTCCAAATCACGAAAACCATTAAATACAACAAACCATTTGATTCTTGTTTCGGGATGATATGAAGAGTTCACAGTTCAAAGTATTTTTAAAACGACTATCTCGGGCCATGGCTACGGCCAAAACCGCATTCAAACTACTTGGAATATCATCTCCAACAGAATCGAGATTTTATGGTTTTTGTTACTCCAATGGAATCCCAAAATGTCCTCAAAAAGAGTAGAGAGGTGAAAAGGTTGCCCATATTTTGAGAGAAAAGAAATCTCCTAACATGAGATGTCTTTTTGTATCAAGCATCATCATTTTCTTGAAGAGAAAATCAAAAATGAATTTATATTAAATAAAGATAATGATACTTCTTTTACGTCATCAATGGAGTAGTAAGAGGACATAGGGTTTGAGCACGGGAAATTTTCATTATTCTTACTTTATAAAAAGAGTTTGTTATTTGTTAGATGTTAAATGTAATGAATATTTTAATAAATACAGTTAATGTTGGAATCTCTGGTGGAGTTGATTGTAATTTTATTTTTAAAGATTTTGATATTTCTTCCGAGAAATTATCATAAACTGTTGGAGATGCTCTAACACTTGTGATGTCGGATTTCTTTTTGTTGGTGATAGATTTGAAAATGGGAGAGAAAGGTTTGGATTGGACAACAAGAAAACGTATAGCTTTTGGTGCCGCTCGTGGCCTGGAATACTTGCACGAGCATTGCACGCCCAAGATTCTTCATCGGGATCTGAAAGCAGCAAATATCCTTTTAGATGATGATTTTGAACCGGTTCTTGGTGATTTTGGGTTAGCAAAACTTGTGGATCCCAGCGTGACTCATATTACGACTCAAGTACGTGGAACCATGGGACACATTGCTCCCGAATACTTGTCTACCGGAAAATCGTCAGAAAAAACAGATGTTTTTGGATACGGTATAACGTTGTTGGAACTTGTAACTGGACAGCGTGCAATCGATCTGTCTCGGCTAGAAGACGAGGAAGATGTTCTTCTTCTTGATCATGTAAGTACAACTTTCTATCGGCATGTTCTAAAAAGTATTACTCCATTTTCCCGGTAAAAATTACAGTAATTTATAACGCAAAATGTAATGAGGTTTGCCTTAGTATTTAGTGTAACAAAAACCTTTTTTACTCGGTCGATGTAACAAAGTTTTAGAATCTCTTATTGTGTACCATTTTGACCGCTATTATGGTGATCTTGTTACATTTGAGGATGTGGATATCAAGTTTATCATTTCCTCACCGTAACTATTTCGTAACTTAAGTATCCACGTTCTCAAATATTACAAAATCAACAGGTTACCGACCAAAAATGGATACAAAATAGAACATTTTGGGACTCTGCTACATCAATTGGGGAAAAATGCATCAACTAAATAGGAACTAAACCAATTTTATAGTATTTTGATGCATTTTTGCCGTAATTTATATATTTGAATGCCCCATAATAATTAGAAAATAACCATTTGTCATTGCAACTTATTTAAACTATTGATTTTACTTAATAAAATACGCTAATTTTGTTAACGCCGGAGGGTATTTTAGACATTTTCATGTTATGGGAAGATAGTGTTCTTGATTATGTAAGTATGACTTTCTATTTATAACGATTTCCATTCAAGCACTACTTGAAAAAGGCTCTTCTACTTCGAAACCAAGTGTCTTAAATGTTCTGGGAAGTTATTGCTCCAATAAAATTGCAATGGTCCTTTCTTGCTAAAGTTTCAAACCAAAATGACAAATTTGCCCTTGTCGGTTATTTTGTTATTGCAAAGGGTGTATTAGGCATTTAATAATTTTGTTATTATGAAGGGTGTTTTAGACATTTAATACTCGTGTCCAGCCAAAGTTTATTGTTCTTATGGAAACAAGTGAGTTAGAGAAGGACATGTAAATTTACCAAAATACCCCTTTGTTGATTCATCTTCTTTCTACTTCAGATCAAGAAATTGCTTAGGGGAATGCGGCTCACCGATATCGTGGATCCAAACCTCACGGTTTATGATGCAAAAGAAGTCGAAACGATGCTTCAAGTTGCATTGTTATGCACCCAAGGTTCACCCGAAGATCGTCCCAAAATGGGAGAGATCATTCATATGCTACGAGGCCAGGGTTTGGCGGAGCGATGGGCAGAGTGGGAACAGATCGAAGAAGTTAGAAATGAAGAGTTCTCTCGTTTGTCACACCAATTTGCTTGGGGTGAAGACTCAACACAGGATCAAGAAGCAATACAATTGTCACAAGCCAGATAAAAGTTATCCGACTAAGAACTTGGAGATAAAACCGTTTATACTAAAAAAGGATTACGTGAACATGTAATAAAGTTTTAGTGTATTTGGGATTGGGTGTGTGTATTGTAAGCCTATGTGAGATTTTGATGCTTATTATATATATACTTATTAGATGTGTTGTTTGTTTGGTAGCGTTTGTGTATTCTTTTTGCTTATATACTTATTTTGATGAAAAACAATTGATCACGATTTCCTTAACGAATGGTTGTGTCGTTGTTTGACATGATTTTCCGAGGTGAACCCTTAAACTTCAAGTAATTATTGTGATCTTCACATGAAGAAGTCACAATATGCATGTAAACCAAATGGAGAACAACCGATAGATTTGAAAGAAGACACTTGAAGCTATCAAATAATATTCAATTTTGGTTTAGGGGTTGTTTTTCCATTCCTATTAAGTATTCTATGTTTAAGATGTTTGTATGAATTAAGTCATCAATATGAATTAATATAAATTGTTATTTGTTTTGTATGTTGGAAAAATTGTAACTGAATAATTAAAATAATTCATTTTACCTTATATATGGATTAAATGTTGATTAAAACTAAACCTAAACCATTTAAACTTTTGTATGTGTTGGAGGAACTCGAGTTTATTAGAGAAACAATAGATAATCATTGGATATAACCATGTAATCATTTAGGAGCTCGCTTCTTAAGTTATATTTTGACCCTTAATTTTATGGGTATCATGAAATCAACCCGAGGATAATCTCATATTTCCAGTAACAATTTTGGCAAAATCGTCCAATTATAAATTTAAAGAATCGTAATCACTTCTATATTAAATATGTTGGTCCTAGAATGATAATCACTAATACAAAAAGTGTTTGTAGGGAATCAAGACTTCATTCTAAACAATTTGGTTTGTGACAAATTTGCAAAGGGCTGAAAGAGTAAGAGAAGAAAGTATCTTTTCAGTTCTGAAGTACTGATGTGGTCTTTAGATTGTTGACGCTGATTTTGCCTAAAAACTATTACTCATAATTTCTTTCAAAGGATGACCTTTTATAATCATCATTGCACTAAATGTTGTTGTCCAACTTTAACGCATGTTGTTAGACCCTAAATTCTTATCTGTAAGTATTGGAAAATGGTTAAGTGTTGAAGACTAGAGATCCTATAAAGATAAACCAGAGATAACCAATGAAGAACCAGAGATACCAAACATGATGATCACCCACTGATGAAGAGTCGCTCTGGTCTATGAACAACCAATCTCTGGAACACTGATAAGTATAAATTTATTTGATACTTTTACACTTTTCCTTCACTTTATTTACCCATTTTATTTTCCCAAATTCCACAAATTGAGTCTTTTTGTTTTGTTTTTCTATCTTTTTATATTGGAGCTAAAGTGATGTGATAAACATGTTTACTTCTTGGATGTATGTTAATTTTTGGGGAAAGTACTTGGCTGAAGCATGCTACAACATGTGCTGCAGAAAGATCCAGGGGCATTCTTGAGAATAGTACGAGAATTTTTTGAGGTCACTTCTTCCCTTTTTGGCAGCCCATCTCCTGTAGCTTTCAAGATCTCATAGGACTAATTCAAGATCTAATTTTTGGCATCTTCTAAGTGGTTTTGGCTTTGCCTATTGTTTTGTATAAAAAGGTGGGTAAAAATCTTTACCCTTTGGATTTTACCCTCCCTTAATAAAGGGGGGAGACTTGGCTTTAGAAATAAGCAATTTGTATGCAACAATCCTAGTAAAACATTTGATGTAGTTTGGTTCTTTTGGTATAAATTAGTAGTTGCAAGTATTCTTCTTCTTTATAATTCCGTTTTACGTTTATTTCTCTTGTCATCTTTTCTTCTCTTAAGTTCTCCCTATTATGCTTTATAATTTATGTAATTAATATTAGTAGTTAAAATAATTTAAGTCTCTTTTACAAATCCATCTTTACAATTATTTCTTCCACTTTCTCTTCTTCTCTCGTGTTCTACTTATTATGCTTTATTATTATTCTTGCAATTAAATTTTCTAGTATCGTTAGTTGTTTTTATAATTATGTCTAGCATTTATTTCTTTTACTTTATTTTTTTTTCTTATGCATTATTGTTCACGTAATTAATTTTTCAAGAATGATAGGCTAAAAATATAACTTCGGTGTTGGGTGAAGTTAAGATAAAGACAGGTCCCGTTTGTAGAAATATAAATTATAAATCTTTACAACTACGTCATTCAAGTTTTTATTGTAAAAACATCATCCATAAACCAACAAGCACATGTCAACTTGAATGATATGGAAATAGGCTCGAGAGAGTTATTTAGAATCGAGGAGACTCGTTTTCGCTCCATTTAGCTTATAAAAGGAATAGTTTGAGCCAATATCGGAACTCCAGCCTTGCATAGAGATATGAGGGTTGGATCTATGACTGTGTGCCATTCTACATCTCTAGAGAGTACCTTAAAGAAGCTATTAGTTGTAAAAATAAGTCATTATAAAGCATGCTATAGAACCATGCTGTAGCATGTTGTCTACTTTTAAATCGGTTTAATATCTTAGCGAATCCCTTCACACTAAGCTTTATGTTATTACTTGTTCACAATAGTAGTGTTTAATCAACTCACCACAAGTATTTCCTCGAATTCACCATCTAAAATCATATATTTATTTATACTATTAAAACGAACTTTTATTCCTTTTTCTTCGTGGACGATATTCGGTAGTTTTACCACTTTATTACTTGTAAAAGACGATAGTGGGTTGATGAGTGTATACTTGCACTAGTCTACATTTGCTAAAAGTATGAGAGCTTTATTTTATATAATTCTCGTAACAAGTTTTTGGCGCCCCTGCCGGGGAATTTAGGCAAACGTTTATTATTAGTAAATCTAAAGATTTGATTTTTCTACCATCTTTTTACTTGATTTTGGGTGGTGTATGCCAAGGCTACCACACGGGGAGATTTTTGAATTGGATCCGGATATCGAGTGAACTTTCAGACAAAGACGAAGAATGCAAAGAGTATTATTATCTACTCTAACCTCTTCCAATATGCCTGATAATCCACTTCCACCAACTCCCCCGCCACTGAATGACACTGAAAAAATAATCAAACTGGCAAACGGATGGAGGAATTATGGACTATGGCATTCCTATTTTTGATCAATTAAATTCAGGAATAATTAGATCAGAAATGGAAGCCCTCCATTTTGAGTTAAAACCAATGATGTTTAATATGTTGCAAACCAACGGTCAGTTCAGTGGTTTGCCATCTGAAGATCTGCACTCACACTTAAAATCATTCATGGAAATAACTGACACTTTCCTTATCCAGGGAGTATCTAACGATGCTCTAAGACTCACATTGTTTCCTTTTTCTTTAAAGGAAAGAGCAAAGTCTTGGTTCAATTCCTCACAACCAGGATCTGTGGATTCTTGGAATAGCATGGCAGAAAAGTTTTTAAAAAAATATTTTCCTCCCACTCAAAATACTAAGTCCAGAAACGAAATTTGTCTTTTTAGACAAATGGACGATGAGGCAGTTCCCGATGCTTGGGAAAGGTACAAAGAGCTATTAAGAAAATGCCCTCACCATGACATTCCATACTGTATACAGCTAGAGACATTTTACAATGGGTTAAATCTCACTGCAAAACAAATGCTCGATGCTACATCAGGAGGAGCTTTCACAGCTAGTACCTATAATGATGGATATGATATACTTGAAAAGATTTCTAATAATAATGGACATTGGGCCGACCCACGTGCACTAGTACCACGCAAAACAGCGGGAGTTCATGACATAGATGCTTTTACAGCATTGACGGCACAGATGACTGCAATGACTAATTTGTATAAAAATTTAACAAATGGTCAAGAAGCACAATCTATAGCCACCGCACATGCTCCAACTGTTGAGTCGGTACAATATGTGTATTGTGGTGGAAGACATCCCTTTGAACATTGTCCATCTAACTCCGAATTAGTCAATTATGTTGGGAATCAAAATATATCAGGACCATTTTCTCAAACATACAATCTTGGGTGAAGACAACACCCAAATTTTTCATGGCACAGTCCTGCTCTAAACCCACCAATGAACAAACCCCAAGGGACTTCACAATTCCAACCACATCAACCTCAACACCAACATCAGGGTCAAGCTCCAAACCATCACCAAAATACTTGTCATCAACAAGCGAATCATTCTTTCCAAAACAAGTCTAACCAATAAGCCAAATCTTCTACTTCTTTGGAAGCAACTCTGAAAGGATTCATAAACCAAACCAACACAACCATGAACCATCAGAACACTGCCATAAGATCTCTAGAAACACAGATTAGTCAACTTGCACTAGAGGTAAGAAATAGACCTGCAGGTACTCTTCCTAGTGATACAGAGATCCCAAAGTCCATCATGAAAGAACATGTGAAGGTAGTGACTTTAAGGAGTGGAAAGAACCTCGTAGAGAGTGAACCTATAAAAAAGTCTGTTGAACCCCAGGACCCAATTGAAATGGATGTCACAACATCTAGTTTAGATATTGTCACACCCACCTTAAAAGATAAAGGGAAAATCAATAAAAATATGACCACTTCCTAAAAAAGCAGAATTTCCCTTGTTATTTCCAAATGAAGGCAAAAAGAAGGTATCATTTCAGGATGATATTGGAACATCTTCTTCTGAAAGTGACAAGAATGTTGAGTCACTAGTCCCTCATAGTGAACCTATCATCATCCAGGCACCCCTAGTCAGTCCTCTAAGAAACCAGTCATAGCTCCTATTCCTCCTTATATACCTTTTCCATAAAGGTTGAGGAATCAGAAAGAGGAGTTACAGTTCAAGAAGTTCCTTGATGTGTTCAAACAGCTACATATCAACATCCCGTTGGTTGAAGCTATTGAACAAATTCCAAGTTATGCAAAATTCCTCAAGGACATTTTGAGCAAGAAAAAGAAGCTAAACGAATTTGAGACTGTTGCCCTAACAGAAGGTTGTAATGCCCTCATTTCCAATAAAATTCCCCCTAAACTCAAAGATCCTGGGAGTTTCACAATTCCCTGTTCAATAGGTGGGAAGGAAATTGGAAAGGCTTTGTGTGATTTAGGTGCCAATGTTAAGCTCATGCCCTTGTCAGTATTCAATACCCTAGGCATAGGTGAGGCTA